ACACCGAGAGGGTTTTAGGGGAGCTGTGGCCCCTAAATTAAAAATTTTTAAAATTTTTGGAGTGAAATTTTTTGAAAAAGTATAATTAATAAAATTATTTTTTGACTCCTCTAATTATTTGAGTTAGGTCTGCTACTGTATCTAAATAAAGTTGATCCCATTTAATAGTTTTATATTAAATGTATTGGCACTTAAATAATCAAAAACAGTCAACTGTATATGTAGTCTAATTGATATAAAAATAGAAATTTGGTTAATTGATATAAAAATAAAAATGATTAAAAGATAGAATTTGGTTAATGATTTTCTTTGAGACCATGTATGTAATAATAATATAAAAATGTTATTGAACCAAATTAAAAACCACACCTAGTACATTAGTTATGAACTAAATAATTTTAATGAATATATTAATAACAATTAACTCATAATTTTTTATTAATTTAAATAGTTTATTAAATACCTCAATCACAATAATTCATATATTTTATTACATGTATAAAATAAAATTTTCCCAACGCAGGTTTAGCCTTGAAATTGATGTTACGCACATGATTGAACAATCCAAAACAAAGCATTATTTCCTCAAAAAAAAACAAAGCATTATGGATATAAAAAATAATAAAAAAAACAAAAAAAAAAAGTCAAGAGTTGTTGGCAAATTAGATCTTGCAAGAAATTTCTTATTATTGTTCAAAATTGTCAATTCATTTGGTTGGCTACCACCCATCCACTTGCCATATTAAATCACAATTGTAGTGGTAGAAGAAATACATAAATACAAAAATAATAAATATATAAAAAAATAATTCAGCTAACCCCTCAACTAGCCACATAAAATAATAAGAATATACATTGGTGGTACGTATATATCATGTAGCAGTTAATAAGAAATTAAATTATTGAATTAAATTATCTTTATATATATAGAGAGAGAAATCGATTTGAATCAATTAATCAATGACTAGTCTTCGTTGAATTGCTAATTTAAATTTTAAAAGATTGAAATCGAACTCCTTTCGGGGAGAATTTTAATTTTAGTACTTTTTTTTTTTTCTAAATCAGTCGCTGTTGATGATTTTTAGCTGATTTTAATTGTAAAGAATGAAACTAAAACAAGCCTATCCACTCATTGATTCAGGTCTGATTTAAAATCAAATTTATTAGAGCACTTTTTGTTGGATTTGATCCAAATCGAACCGGGGGAAGGTTTATCACATGGATATATATGATAATGTACATATCACTTGTGTGAATCCGTACTTGTCTATGTAATGACAAAAGGGTGACTTGGCCTTGATAAGAACCTCCACATGGCCACAATCCATCACCAAACATTCACTTCTTTTGGGAAGAGAGAGAGAGACTAACAATTATTGCTTAGTATTTTTATTGCCTGTCTGAAATCTGAACATCTGAACCGTTTGAATCTGAATCTAAGCATGTATGATGCACTTATTAGGGTCAAGTGAAGCCCAATTTTTAATTATATTTTATAATTTTATAATTATGCATAATGTAAATGGTTGCCATTTTTTATTGGAAAAATATTAAAATTTTAATGGCAGCAAATTAAAATAATGAATTGAAAAGTATCTCAACATAATTTTAATAGATAAGCACGTTTACTCATTATTTTAGTTCAATTATTAGGGACGACAAATCATAAACTAAGAATCTTTTTTATTTATAAATCTCACGTTTTGAACATATATATTATGTGCTTTTAAATAATACTAAGGTAGATTAGTATGAAGTATTAAAATTGATTTACATTTTACCCGCAAATTAACTTTTTATGTGAATTTTACATTTAAAGTAAAGGAGTCATGAAATATAAAATTATCATTATTACTATAGTGTGAAAGTCAATATACATGTGTAAACCAAGAAAAATAGCACCACCCAATCATTAAATGAAGTTACATACGTGTGTGATTCAGATTTTATGATTTTCAATTATTTTTATTAAATAAATTTAAAAAATATTTAACACATCAATTTTTTTTTTTCTCTTCAAAATAGTACTCTAACGGTTCCCTTAAATTTAACAGCTTTTAATTTTTTCTTCTTCTAGATGATCTTTTTAGAAAATTGAGTTAGTATTAATTATTTTGTTTCAACTTTATCTTTGTATAAATATCTCTACTAAATTTTATATTAATTAAAAGATAGTTTAGCAATTGATGTTATTTTTCTTCTAAATTGAGGTGATTTAATCATTTTTTATTTATTGTGTGAAGTAAAAAATTTTCAAATTTAATAAAATGGAACGAGTAATTAACATTGCTATTCATTTCCTCTAAAAATATAAATAATTTAATGTTTTACAAGAGGGTTAAATAAGCATTTAAATTTCTTAAATTATAATAAAAATAAAAAAAATATTTAATCAAATTGTCCTTTATTTTAAAACTAAGAATAAATAATGGAAATAATTATTGTATATAATATAAATAAACCTGAACTCAAAAAAAATGATTATTATTGCTTATTAAAATATTAAAAACATCTTATATTTAAATAAAATAATTATTTTAAAATAATTTATATTTTGAGAAAAAAAAAAACTAATTTGAAAATAGTAGGCTAAAAATTACTATAGTTGATGTTGCAATCGATTCATCCTTTTGCTGACTCTGATGGGTAAGAAGAAAATGAAGAACGTGCTTGGTGTCGTACAGCACTATCAATCCTAGAAACAGACAAAACTGTCCTAAGTCAGAAATACCATTTTAACCTCCAGCAAATGCTTTTACATTTTAGCCCCAGAACTTTTAGTGGTTTTACAACTTGACCAAACAATTGAAAATATTTTGAGCTTAATTATCATTGAATGTTTAGAAAATTAGATCCCACCAGCCGATTGAATCATTTAACTCGTGAATTGATTAGTTTTATAAATAATATGATATATTTAGATGTAATTTTATCAAAATTAAATACTAAAAATGTGATATTTTTAATTAACTAAAAATGTGATATAAAATTAATAATTTTATAATTCTAAAAATGATTCTAACAATAGAGTTGTCCATAATCCTTGGAAAGTTTAAGGTAAACCCATCAAGATTGAAAAAAACGGTATTATAAGTATTAAACAAAATATAATTTATTATTTCAGTTATTATTAAGAATTAAACTGAAATGATATCCAAACTGAATTGCATCAAAAATAAACAATTAAAATCAAATAGAAAACCAATTATTAAATATTTTCTTATTTAAGTTTTTTTAGGTATATTATGTAATTTACAACAACCATCACATTTTATCATTGGTTAAATATATATAATTTAATTTGTGGCTCCTTAAACTTTGAAAATGATATTATGAGTCGTTGAATTTACTTTTTGACTTTTTCATTATGTAAAATTTATCTATAAATGAATTATAAGTGAATTAATTTCTCATGTTTGATATGTTATAATTTAAAATAAGAAAGTTAATTAAATTTTATAAAATTATGTTAGAAATAAAATTTTAAATGATAATTCATTTGTCTCTGTTTCCTAAAATGATATTGACATAATAATTTATCAAAATAAATAACAAACACCAATAGAATAATTTTTTTATTAAAATATAAATAATAAAATTCATATAAATAAATACACTCACGGTTCATCCTAATTAATTAATTAATTAATTAATTAATTACTAGTTTTACTTATTATATATACAGTGACATTCATCATAATAGTTATTATTTTTAATGGGTGTAAAAAATCTTGTCCATTTGAGTAATGAATTTGAAAACTACAAAAGTATTTAAGAAGATTATTGTTGTTTTTAATTATATTTAGAAATAATTAAAAAAGTTATTACTGCCCTTAACTATATTTGGAAACAATTATTCATAGGGTTAGTTTCTATAATTTCATAGTAATAAGTTAGGAAATTTCCAAAAAGAAAAAAGGAAATAGTTCTCAATAGTGAATGGTATTTTGGAATCTATTTAGAAATTTCGTTAATTTTAATAGAATTTAAATTAGGGATGTCCAATTGGAATTCAATTTGTAGAATTCAAATGTATATTTCATTTTATTGCAATCACAAAATTTTGAATTTCCAAACAAATTCTATAAAAATATTATGAAATTCATTTGTTTCAAATAGACGGTTTGATTCCTTGAATTTTTGTATTTGCTGCTCCCAAAGATTATTCATTTTTCGATATAACAAGATGTGATATTATTTTTAAAAGGTGAAGTTCAAGTGGCAATAAATCAAAAAGCGAAATTAAAGGGAATAAAATAATTTTAATTGGTAAGGAGCTACAAGATTTTTTTTTTTTAATATAAAAGTTTAATTGTTATTGCTATCTACTAATAAAGATGGTTTATGAGTTAATAACTTACCATCTCTTATTATATCTAATCCTTTAGCACTATAATAATTTATAACTATAGATCTAGCCACAATTTGTAAATTAAATCCAATTACAAAATAAACTACCATGTAATATTTTATGTTTGTAAAAGAGTAGCTAGGATGCTAAAAATGGTATGAAATTCTTAAAGGGTGATCTTATGTTCTAAAAGAAAAAATTTAATTAATTTATTTGAAAAAAATTTCAAATTAAAAAGTTAAATATCCATAATTAAAAGAGAGCAGGAGGTTCACACTTTAGGCTAATGGCAAAATTTTCAGGCAAAGCCTGAGTCAACTCAGAGTTTATCTCCCCTCTTTTTCTCTCCTCCAATAATCCTCATTAAAAAAAAAAGAAAAAAGAAAATAAAAGAATTGAAAAAGAGTTGGATGCCAAATTAGCATTTCATCGTTCAAAGACCCCAAAAGGGAGATCTACTGGGAAAACGTTAATTAATGTATTTGAAAAGTAATTGAAAAAGTTTGGAAAAAAAGAAAATTATAAATTAAAAACAAAAAAGCTAAAATTAAGGACAAAACAGTAAAAAAGGAAACATCCTTCAAACAGTTTTCTGCACAAAGCAGCCTCCCGACGAGAACTATCCACATTTAAAAGGACCCCGATACCCACTCTCAAGCACACACAACAAACGTGGCTTTGAAGGCGCGAACCTCTCCAATCTCCATCTATCCTTTCTCTTTTTAGGTCGTCTTCTTCCTTCGACTTCTACCTTTCAAAACAAAGCCACCCTTTCCTCTTACACACACACAAACACACTTTCTTTCTTTCTTTCTTCCTTTCTTTCTGTGTGTGTGAAAATGTCGTTGACGTTGGCCACCGGAGCTGCTACACTCAACTGCCAAACCCCTCCTTCTGTTAAAATGTCCTTCAGCTTCAAGACTGGAGTTCCTACACAATTAAACTACCGGAATCCTCTCAAATTCCGGGCAAACTCGATTTCTAAAAATCAGAAAATCAAGTCCACTTATCCGACGGTGAAAATGATGACGCGTATTGAACGTTTGATTCAAGATGAAGGAATTATTTTGTTGCCTGGTATTTATGACGCTCTTTCCGCTTCCATTCTAGAGAAGGTCGGTTTTAGTGCCGGTTGGATCTCTGGTTTTTGTGTCTCTGCTTCTCTTCTTGGCAAACCAGACATTGGTTTCCTTACGTACGCTTCTTCACTCTGTTTTTGTTACTGTTAGCATTCGATTTTTGTTTTTGTTACTTTAATTGCTTAATCTTGTTTGGTTCTTGCTTTGAATTTGTTTTACTGCTTATAGGCCACCAGAAATGGCAGCCACGACAAGTAGAGTGTGTGCTGCTGCGGACATCCCCTTTATTGCTGATGCTGGTATTGTAATTCTGCCTTTCCTATGGTTTGATTTTTCCGTTTATGCTTTCCGATCCGTTTTTGCAAATCCGCCATTAATATGTTAGAATTAAAAAAGAGTTTTGGTTTAATTGTGCCAAAATTTTCTGTGAACATTTGTCAGCTGTTAGTTGGGCAGATCCAAAATGACTATTACTAGCTGGATAAATTGTCTGGCTGATATAATTAATATCGTTAGCATCATAATTGAAATTTTTATTGTCCGATGTTTACAAATTGCTGTTATTTGGTTTAAGAAATTGTCCTCTCTCTGTTTCTGCGTGACCGACACATCATAGCATCACATGTTCGATTTAAAATAGGGGCCTAAAAGGATACCATATCGTAATAATTTGGGACTCTGTGCCACTTACTTATGGCTGGGTCAAAAAGGAGTAAAAGAATAGCAATACTTTGAGTTTAAATAATTGGGACTTTTTTTTATATATTTTTTTCCTGAACAGAGTCTTTTGGAACTTTTGCATAACGTTTTAGTATGTTTCACTTGAATCTTTCCTGTAAAAAATTTCTCTTGCCATTTCCTCAATCTGCTGCTCCTTCACTTCTGTGTTCTAACCCATAAAAAATACAATTCGTGAATCAGCTGATTGATCCTTTCCACTGAAGGGCTTAAAGGCTTAATCTCTCTCTGTTGTTTGAAAGTTGTTTTAAACATGGAAAAAATTTGTGACTTGACTTCCTTACTTTTGGGTGAATTACAGTGGAAAAACAAAAACGAAAAGAAAACATTAGAGAGAATATTTTTTATTAATTGGATATCTTACATCAGCAATATTGTTTTTTGTGCAATGAAATCTCACTTTTTTTTTTTTTTTTTTTAAAACAAAAAACGAAAAGAAAACCATTAGAGAGAATGATTTTTTAATTTAATTGATATCTTACATCAGCAATATTGTTTTTTTGTGCAATGAAATTCTCACTTTTTTTTTTTTTTCTTTTTTTTTTAATTTGCCCTTTTCTCTTTTTTTTTTTTTTTTTTTAATTTGCCCTTTCTACTTGCTTTTGTTCCAGATACTGGTGGTGGCAATGCCCTCAACATTCAGAGGACCATCAAGGACTTGATCAGGGCTGGTGCTGCTGGATGCTTTTTGGAGGTGCTACTTCAGATTTCTTTTTCTTTTTTCTAAAAACCCCGATTGTTATGCATATACATATATATATATTCCTTAGTGTTTCTAACTAAAGCAATTTAAATTCTTTCCAGGATCAAGCATGGCCAAAGAAATGCGGTAAGACTTATCAGCTTTTAATTCAAGTTAAATTTGAATGAATGATCAGAATGAAATGAATTCTATACGTTTCAGTTTTTAGGATTTGATACTAACTCTCCCTTTTCCTTTTCGATCAACTGCAGGGCATTTCGCCGGCAAACAGGTACCTTTTCGTTTCTCTAAATACTTGCAAGCTAGCCATAAAAATAATGATCAGAATTTAAAAACTTAAAAAGATTTGTTCATCTTGTTAACTATCCTTTCGTTTACAGGTTATTCCTGCAGAAGAACATGCGGCAAAAATTGCTTCTGCTAGAGATGCCATTGGGAATTCTGATTTCTTCCTTGTGGCTAGGACTGATGCACGTGCAACATCAGTAGAAAAAGGTCTTTCAGATGCCATTTCAAGGGCCAACTTTTACTTGGAGGTATGCATAATGCCACATTTTGCTTTCTCGTTATTTGACAAGACATGGACCAAATCAATTCAGTTTGGCCTATATTCGTATATGTTTAGTCTTTGTTGGATTCCAGATCATGAATCTTCAAGGTTTAAGTGCTATAATGAAATTATGCAGGCAGGAGCGGATGCATGCTTTGTGGAAGCACCAAGGGATGATGATGAACTAAGGGAAATTGCACGCAGGACAAAGGGTTACAGGGCATGTAACATGCTTGAAGGAGGGAAAACACCATTGCATACACCAGAGGAGCTAAAAGCAATGGGCTTCCATTTGATTCTTCATTCAACTACTTCCATCTATGCCGCAGCAAAATCATTGACTGATGTCCTCGGAACTCTGAGGGTGAAGGGAACTACTAGAGAAGACCTTCACCAAATGGCTTCTTTTAGTGAATTTAACGAAGTCGTCAATTTGGACCACTGGTATCAACTCGAATCACGGTTTTCAAAATACACCAATGGTTCTATTGTCAGAGATCTTGAAGAAGCTGGTGTAGGTTTTAAAAATTGAAAAGTAATGCCGAGCAAAGTAAATATTTGTACCAGAAAGAAGAATCTATGAATCAGAATTTCGCAATGGAGCCGCATTTTGCATTTGTAATCTCGACCATCACCACGACCACAACAAACTCAACCAGAACTCCCTTTGCCAGATTGAATAAATCAGTTCTTGTATTGCAATTGTTTCAATTTAGTCAGTTCTTGTACTACAGTTTATTGTTTAAATTCTTGTACTAAATTATATTATGCAAGTCAGTTTCTGTAATTGTAAGGTTCTTGTACTAGAATTATTGCTTCAGGTTGTTGTATTAAAATATGATTTCAAGCCAGTTCTTGTATTCTTGTACTACAATTATTGTTAAATTGAATAAATCAGCTCTTCTGCTCAAACTGTTGTCTTTTTTTTTTTTCTTTTGTTTTAAATTAAATACTAGTATTGTGAATCCACCGTCCTAAGATTCCAAAAACAAAGGAAAAAAAAAAAAACACGTGAAACAGTCCTTAATTATATTATAGTTTGAGCTCTTAACCATAATAATGTAATCCAATTCAATTAATAAGAATATTCCAATAATTGATTGTAGGTCCATTGGAATCCCTAACATGTCTATTTAGTATCATTTTGCGATCACTTTCCACATCAAACAGATAGCTCAATCAAAATGCGGTGACTGTTACACCATTCATTGGCAAGGCAGTGGATCCAGAGAGCCTGGGCCCATCTAAGCCCAAAAGTATCATAATTCACATACACCATTTAAAATTGGTCCCTCAAAAAAGCAATAAAACGTTATACTACTTATCTCATCTGCATTCGTATTTGCTCAAAAGTCTACTTTTATTTATTTTAGCTTATAAATATATATAATATTATTGTAAATAATATAATAAAATATTTTTTAATACTTATTTAGAGATTATCTATTGCAATTTTTTCATGAACTTTCTTTTACTATTGAAGAACTTTTGATATTGATAGAAATTCAAAAAAATTAGTATTGTGCAAAAAAAAAAAAAAAATTAAGAGTTCTAAAATGAATTTCATTTGTTATTAATTACTATTGTATATTTGTAAGTAAATGAGTCTATGATATTATGAATCTCTTCACCTAAACCTTCATTAAGCTATCATTTTTTATATTATTGTAAAAAGTGTGAAAATAAAAAGAAATAAAGGGAAATATTGCTGGGTCAGCTTAAAGATGGAAAAGACAATCTAACTCACTGGATTCTGCAAAGAGAAATTATAGAAAATGTCACTTTTTCAAATTTATTTTTACAAAACAGTGAGTTTGACGTTAAGATTTAAATTATTGTCATTTGTGATATATTTTTACGATTGTGCCCTTTTTTATTGTTAGAATATTAATTTATTAATATTTCAATGTTTTAATATATTAGTATTGATTTTCTATGATATATTTTGTATTGATTTTCTATTTTCACTATTGTTTCTTTTTTTTTAGTACGTTAATAATATTTTCTGCTGCCATTTTTTCAGCTCTCATCATTTTTTAGATGGTTTTTTTTCCTTTTGCTACCGTCCATTATTTTCTTGTCATTTTTTATCCTTTTGCTGTTATTCTTTTCATTATTGATCTTGTTTCATGGTTTCCTTTTTTAGTCATAAGGTATGTTGTTTCTGTTTTTGATCTGTTGCTTATTGTTGAGAATATCCCTAAGGTAAATATAATGATTCAAATTAAGACTTTCAATTAAAAAAAAATGGGAAGAATTAAATTTGAAATCATATCAAGGTCCAATTAGAAATAATGTCCCCTAATTGGAGCTAAATAGAACAACCTTCCTTACTTTGTCGTGACTAAATTGAATAATATATTCACCAATAATCAAATAATTTTAATCTAAATCATATGTGATAGGCTCAAATTGGAGATCATTCAATTGATATCTAAATAAAATTTTATTCCTTAATTCATTATGACTAATAAATTGTTTAATGTATTTACACATATATATTTTCAATTTCAATCACATATGATGGGTTTTAATAAAACACCATGTGCCTATTCGGAACTCATCCAATTGATACCTAAATAAAATCTCATTCCTTAGTTTATTGTGACTAAATTGATTCATATATTTATAAGTAATAACATATAATTTCAATTTCAATCACATGTGATCCTACATATGGACACTATAAAAATAGAGACATCGAAGGTAAAACCATGCTTGAGATATATTGAAATTAAACAGTAATTGAAATCAATTAATTTGATACTCTTATTAAGTTACATTGAATTGAAAATCCCAATCGACATAAATTGAAATTATGTCAAAATTATAATACAATCCGCTTTAACCCTAAAGCAAGCTCAATTTTTGGCAAAAGAAACTTTTAACCTTTCAGCTTCAATGATTTCTCAAAAGTAAATAGTCAATCAATAAATCCCAACCCAAGTCCCAAACCAGAGTTAGCCAATATGGTCAATACAGAGGTTCAAGACTTAAAAGGTGCATGTCATTTGCTGTCTGCATAGACACACATGGTTCATGGCTGGGATCCAACAACCTTAACGCCCACATGTCTCCCACCACCAACGGTCTGCCACGCCATATATCTTAAACACGGCTGTCCAATAATGTTCTAAAAATTCAATTTCATAATATTCTATAATTTAATAATTATCAACCATGTTATAATTCTTTTTCTTTTTTTGAAATACCACGTGATAGTTACATGCTTCTCTCTCTTTGTGTGTGTATATATTTTCTTTTTTTGAATACCACGTGATAGTTACATGCTTCTCTCTCTTTGTGGTGTAATATATATATATAATATCTATATAATATATATATAATATATATATATATATATATATATATATATAATATAATATATATATATATATATTACACTTACGTGGTACAATTACTTGAGACGAGTATAACCATAGTTTCAGAACCATCTAATGATGGAAGTCCCCCGGATTCTATAAAAATTTTTAGTTCACTACTTATTACAAGTGATAAATTATGACAATATTTCTATTTAGATGATAATTATATTTTATTTTAATTATATAACAATTCAATATAATTATTCTCACTAATTTGGTGTATTTAAAAGAGAGTTACTGTTATTTTGTAACATATCATATTCAGTCCATTTTAACTCTTATAATCAATAAAAAAAATTAGTGTAAAATAGTAAATTTTAAAGATTTGGATACAATTATAACTTTTTTTAACATATTTCATTTTTTTTACCATTAGGCTATTTCTCAATACACAAGCCAACCATGATCTCAAAAATATCTTATAGAAATCACTTTATAAATTTTAAGTCGAGTAATTACTAATTAGTTTAGATTTTAAATTTTTGACCTCGTAAAATTTATTCGAAAATTTAACAAATATTATTATTTTATTCTTTACTTTTTCTAATGAATGACAAGAAATATTTTCTTTATAATAAAAGATTTATTTATTTTATTAATTTACTGTATGGATGGATGAGTAATGGCAAGTGGATAAATCATTGCCGTTTGTTATATACTTTTGTATGTCCTCCTTTACTCCATTGTTACCTGGAATGGAATTTTACCTGGAAATGGAATTTAATATATATATATAATATATATCATCATATATATATATATACTATACATGGAAATTAATTTGTCTAGATCGGAATATATACATGGAAATTATTTGTCTAGATCGGATTTATAGCCACGTTTATGGACTAAACCAATCACAGTAATAATTTTTTAAAAAATTTTCTGATTTTATCCATTTTTTTTAATATATGGTCAGAAATATCTTCATTTTAATAAGAAATCTTATTCTTATTGGTTTGGTTTATGAGTGGAGATATGAACCCGTTTTAGGTAAAAATTTTCCCAATATATACTTTATCTGTTTGAAATGGTACTGGGCCTCCCTGCGTATTGCGATCAATAAAAATGTTTTGTCAGAAAGTCGGATCGGCCAGATCATGGGCCTAAACATTTTATGTCTTGGTCGAGGCCTATTTGGATGCTTTTTGAGAATTAATATCTGCAAAAAGATATTTAAACTACAAATGTATAGTTTTATCAAGTTCAGTTATGCCAAATCTATTTTTTACAGTGGTTGAAACTCATGACTCTTACATGAATTATTTATAAGAAAAACAATTAAATCAAATGTCACGATAATTTTATTCATTAAAAAATTGTAATATATAAATAATTCTATGAAATTCTAATCTTTTAGCATTATGATTTTAATGTTCTATGAATCATAGATTCATTATATTTAAGAAATGATGAACCTATCTAACACAGAATTGTTTGATTGAAATTTTACCATTTTAGGACATGAAACATGTCCAAAGTTGGAATCCAACAAAACTTCTTAAGAAGAGTAATTTTTTATGATAGAAAACATATTTTAATATTAGGTATTCGACATTATAAATTATAAACCATTGTAAATTATAAAATATAACTCTCCTATTTAAGGATGTCTTTTTTATTTTCAACATTATAAAATATAATTAATGTTGCCTAATTATCATTCCTCTCATCTTTTTTTAATTTATACAATTACTCAAATATTATTAAAATTTTTAATAGAATTAATTAATAATGATTTATGCGTCAAACATTGCAAATGTCTTATTCTTTCCACTTTTTTATCTTTCATTTTCTAACCAACAAATAAACTTTTACTTTTCTAAAACAATTGGAAATATTTTATGTATTCTATTTCGGATCTATAACAAATAAATATTATATGCATACTAAAATTTAATTAAAATATATAAACTTAAGGAGCTTTAAAATTGAAAGGCTAAAAAAATGCATAAATTTTATAGCTTCCCTCATTAAATATTATCTCTCTAATTTATAGTTTTTTCGTGAATTTGACTTTCATGGGTTTTAAACATAAAATATACTTTAATACGGTTATTGATGTTCTCTATATTAAAAATTAAAATAAAATGCCTTCTAACATATATAGCACTAAAATTAAAATTCAAAAATAGAAAAATACGTCTTCATCAAATTAAAATGAAAACAACTTTCTCTTCTCTATTCTATGTAAAATGTCTTGCTGGAGTATATGAAACTCTTCTATTTCCACCGGTTCTTTTTTATCTCACATCAACTCAAGTTCAATTTTATTTTTCTAAATAATTCAAAGCACACATTTATTATTTTTTTTTTTTGTGTATTATGATGTATTATATTACTGTGTTTTTCATGTTTTTTGAAATCTTTAAACTTTGGATTTCAATTTATAAAATTTGAATAAATTCTTCTCCAAAAAATAAGGAATTAAAGTAATATATATATTCTTAAAAAAAATAATTTATATATTCAAATATACAATATTAGATTCTTAGTTATTAAAATAGTTTTTTTTATTATTGTTTT